CCTCCCCCGCGGCCCCGGGGGGGAGCGGGGTCCCGGCACAGGACGGGGTGGCTGGGACGCGCTCTCCGCCGGGGGGGCGAGGGGCTGGCGCCCGCGGTTGGGCAGCTGGAGCTTCGGGCCCGGCCCTGAGCCGGGATTTGGGTCCCGCAGGCCACAGGAGGAGGCACGGCGGCCCAGACCTGCGCCTCTGCATAGCTGCGGCTGGGCCGTCCCGTGCTGAAGCGAAATGAGGATGTTTTCCAATTACACTGCTTTCACTTTCCTCAATCAGGAATCCGTCCACAAGTCAGTAAATTTTGGTTACTTGACGCAAACCAGAGAGGGCTTCCTGGATCACTAACCAAAGATGGCCTCGATGTCAAGCCTCCTTGTTGAATGCAACAGGTAATGGTGGTGTCGGGTAAAAACCAAGCTCAGAATTTCCGTGGGAGAGCGTCAGAAACGCCCAGCTGGGTCAGGGTGCTGGGCTGCTGGGTTTTGACAGTCGTTAGACAGCGCTGCTTAAGAGAGCGCCTAACCCGTGGGGTGAAGCCCTTACGCTGCCCCAGCACCCACGGGATAGATTTGCTTGGGAACCCACGTGCCTTAGCATCTGTTTCTGCATCAGCAGCCTCTGAATTTGTCTAAATTCCTTTTTTTTCTGCCTTCACAAAATGTTGTGGCAACAGATTCCAGATTTTACAGTATCTGCAGTGTTAAGGAAGTGTTTTCATTTGTGTTAAGCAGGTTTAAGGGTTATATCTCTTAAGCAAAGAGCATGCAGGATGTTAGGTGTGTACGACAGTACCAAAAGTAGCATAAAGGGAAGTGCATTAAGTTTCAGGAGAGACAAATTTAAGTTGTGCAATGTAGAATTTCTCACGTCTCTGGTTTTTATGCTTAGTAAGGAAAGAGGCTTCAGATATCCAATATATATCACTTTAACCTATAAAATCATATAGCATTTACGTTTAAAAATTCTTTTAGCGTAACACAGCTTCTGGTATTCCTTTCTGGTATTCTATTCTGCTGAAAAAAAAAAAAAAAGCCAATATACACAATGTTATTATTTTTTTCCCCGTTTCCTCAGGTTTCAATGGATTTAACAAGTCCCCAGCCATCTTTAAAAGGTAATGATTTTGTAAGCATTTCCTAATGTGCTGTCTGGAAAAAGACATTCCAAAGTGGAATGGGATCATTACAGATTCTGTTAGAATTTTCCTGTTCTACCTCACTTGCTGATCTGGCTCTGTAGAGGTTTCTTAGGGGGATTTCCTTTTTCCCGGTGCCTCCCTTGATTCAGTTCTTGCAGTGTGTCAGGTGTCTTAGACCATTTTTCAGTAATAACCAGACATCCTTTCTTATCAGCTTCCAGCTGTGGCACGTGCATCCTCCTACTTTTCTGCACTCAATCCCTGGAGCAAAGGATTTTTTTTTTCCGGTTTTAAGTCATATGCAGATGGGGATTTCCCTGTTGCTTAATAGGCATTCGAAACTGGACAAAGTAGTGGAAAAATTTAGTTTATATTTTATTGTTTTTAGGAAATACCCAGCATTACCAAGGGAATTGACAAGATTATTTAATTTAGACCTTTTCCATGCCTAAAATTCATGGTTCACATTCAAGTTTTATGTAATCTTAAGTAAAAGGGAGGGATTGTTTCAACAGGTCTCTTTGGATTTTTTTTTGTCTTTTCTGCAGAATATTGCAGCCATAGAAACAAAACAGAACAGAGAAGATTTCCTCTCTTCTTGGGCTTTATCCAGTCATAGTTTACCCATGATGGTGAATTTCTGTTCTGAAGTACTTTAATTCTGAAATGCTTCTTTTATCACCTTGCTCCTGCTTGATGTTACCTTTTATTGTCTAATCTCCCTGAGCTTGGAAGCATCGCGATTTGAAATTTTTTTTTCTCATGAGATCTGTGTGTTCTTTATACATTCTGTCAGAGAAACTGCTGAGAAAGCATATAGATAAACATTTGTGGGTCTGATGGGCTTAGTTCCCTGTGGAAGAACATAAGACAACCTGTTTTTATTATTTACCAAAATACTAGCCTGTGACTATTTTCAGTTGGATAGCTAGCAAATAGTGATTACTGACCAGGACCTGTTTTCTTAGATTTTTGTCCTGTCCGGCCATTAAAATAGTTCAATGATTTGGCCTAAGTGTCTGAATGCATTTTTTAAAAAATATGTGGCATATGCTGTCCTCTGGCATGCGGATTCTAGGAAGACTTAATTATGAAATATAATCAGTCTCTCAGAATATTTGACTCACCTCATATCTTGCCTGAGTAATTGGAGGAAAACAGCAAATGGGCACACAGGGAAAATACAGTGAACTTTCATTAATGGACATACGTTGAAAACTACCATAGCAAAATGCTTCATCCAACTGCAGAGTGTTGTTTTTGTTTTTTTTAGTTTGAAGATTAATTTGAATTGTTTGGTGGGTCTCAGTTATTGCCTAATGGAGGGGAAAACCTGTGTGTGCCTCTTCTTTTCTCTCCAGATTATGATAACCCCTGACTCTTTTAACACATCGAAAGATGAGATGGAAAGACTTAAAGAAGAACTGAGGAAATGGAAGGCAAGTTCTATAAGGCACATAGAATAATGGAAATTAGCTGAAAGATATTTGGAAGACTGTTAGTCCATCCTTCTAAAACCAAATCAACTCTCCCCCAGTTGTAACATGTTTGCCTAACTTGTTCTCTTCTTCAGTGGTACATGCTTGTGTTGATCTCAGTTGTAACTACACTTGTAAATCTAAGAAAAATATTTATCCAAAGTATTAAAAATAAACAAATATGAAGGGTTTACTTGAGGTTTTGTTTGTTCCTGTGGAAGAAAAAAAAATTTAAATCTTTTTACTATCCAGGAAAGAGTGGAAAAAGCTGAAGAAACAAAAGCTGACCTTCTTCTCTCTAAATCAAATGCTGATGAAGAGTATGTTAAAGCAGGGGAGGAGCTGATGAAGCTAAAGAAATTTCAAGAGAAACAGCATAAGGACATTATTGTATCTAGGGACACCCGTGAGGTATGGAGTAAGCTTACTTACAGTTGTTAGAATTTGGGGAGAGTTGTGAAGGCGGTCTTGATTACAGAAAATAAGAGTAATATTCCTTTTCAGGAAACCATCTTTATTGATTTGCAAACTGTACGACTGGAATGTTTTACACAGTTTTTCAGTGGCAGATTAAGAACTGGTGCAATAAAAAAAATTTGGAAGAGTGAAGGCAAAGCTGAGACCTTTTGTATAGAAGATAGACTGAACAAAACCAGCCTTCTTCTTCCAAGATTCCCCACTAATGGATGAGTTTCAGTTTTGTGTGATGCAGATAAAATTGATAGGGTTGATTCCACTACTTTGTCAACTCCCAGCCCATCTTGTAAGACATTACAATGCCCAAGGGATTAGCATTTAAGTGATAGTGAGTTGGACAACAGCCAGAGCCTATTTGAAGAGGGCTTTTCTTTCTCGAACTAATTGGTTCTAGAGCTAATTTGTTCATTACCTCAATGTGCCATGTGCAGTCGTTGGTACAGTAATAGGGTAAGTTTCTATAGGCTGTCAGTGAGGTGGTTTCAGTGAAGTTTGGTTTGGCCTGTAAATCACTGCTGAGAAATTATGGCTTCAATATTATAAACTATTAAAATATAACAAATAGGTTAAGTATATGCAGGTTGGCGTGTTTCTCCAATAATAAATGTTTAGATTTAATACCCAGAAGAGGTCATTATCATCATCTGGCTTTTTGTTTTCCATTATCTTCAGCTGATGGGAGCTGGTGTAGGTGTCTCGAGTGGTTAATGACTTTAAAGGAGCCATCTTCTAATTGTGGATGACTGGAGCTGACTACATCTGCTGTGTTTCCTTCTCATTCTGTTGTGTTCCCTGTCCAGAAAATACTGGATTTAGTTTCCTGGGCTTTTGCCCATTTAGGATTTATTGATGTGGAGGAAGTATGTAGCAGATAGGAGGTAGAAGAGGTGTTTCTCTTCCTTGCTGAAGAAGTATAAAGAGGGAAGAGTAGCAGTGTGTCAGAAACTCTCCTCACCTGGTAAACTTCTCAGAAAAGACAGTAACAGTTACTAAGGTCACATGTGGTACAAAAATTAAAATGTTTGTCTGTTGACATAGGCATGTGTAAGGAACTGACATAACTGTGGGAAGTGCTGTGCAATTTATGGTGCACGGTATGTGCTTGGAAACACTGATGCCTCTTGTCAAAACCTTCTTGCTGTAATTTACTTTGGCTGAAACCGCTCCTCAGTGAGTGAATTTATCTTTGAGATAGCTAAAGCCATGCAAAAAATGTATCATGCGTGGCTGTCACGTAGAATAATTAGAAGTTGAAACAGTTTCTAATGTCTACAGATTTTGCTGAAATATATTTTTGTCTCCTGTGCATTTAATTTCGGATTTAATACTTTTTGGGCTGTAGAGAGAACTCTGTGCACTAAACGAAGAAAACGCTGAGCTGAAGAAAGAAATTGAAAAGCTCAAAGAAGAACTTGCAGAATGTCGTTCAGTGCTTTCACAGGATGGTCACGTAAAGTTTGAAATATTTTTCAGTTTGTCTTTTGGAAGGGCACGTTTTTATGTTGTCGGTTCTAGACCGCTGGGGACAGTTGTTCAGCACTTGAACCTCTACTGATTTAAATATAAAATACAGCTTGAAGTTTTATTTTCTTATTTTATCTGCAATATAATGGGAAGCAAGCTAAGGATATGGAAATAAATACAAGTATGTGAGATATTGAAAACATGAGGAATGAAGACAAGCAGAAAATTACTAGGTGGATGAGACCAGCATAAAAAATACACATAGCATTAGTAATTTTCAAGTGCTTTCATTTTATATTTCTTGGGAAAATGGGTGGAAGAAAGGGAATAAATCCATTATATGGCAAATGTGGCATTTGTTTTAACCTGTATTGAGCTTTACTTGATTGTAGCCTCTCTCATGTTACTCCAAATCAGAAATAACTCAATTTAAAGCCAGGTAAATATTAGTGATACTTAAATAGATTTAAACTCAGGTTCCAACGTGCCTTTTGGTGAAACTGCTGCAGATTCTGAGGTGTTCAGAAATTGGAACTTCTCCGACTGAAATTTCAGCTTTTAAAAACCCATTGTCATTCCGAATTGGAACAAGCCCAAGTATTTTGGGGAATTTACAGTAAAATGAAAACTGCGATCATTTATTTGTTTATACGGAGATTGAAACTCTACCCAAGTGTTACCTTGTTTATTGTTCACAATATTATGATACTAGCTTTAGCTTTCTAAATTACATTTCTAAGCTTAGGAGATATCAGTTAAGTCCAGCCTCCTAAATTTCCTGTGCAGTCGTTGGACAGGGCAAGGCTCCTCTAGAAGGAGATTCTGTGTGAACAGGGTCCTCCACCCAGTGTCTGAATTCTCTTTAGGAAGAGCGACTCTCCTTCTGTTGGCAGTAGAGAGAATGGAAGGAAAGTGGGCTCACAGATAAGATGCTAGTTTTGAAGATAGGTGGCAGGAATGCTTTAATTATTCTGGTTATTTTATCTTGACATAAACAGGATTTTTCTTCTACACAGGGTTTTATTGTGAAATAGTTATATAAAGGGGAAAAAAAACCCCTAAGTCTGTCAGAGCAGCCTTTCCGAATCAACGTTTTCATGAACAGTTTTAATCTACCCTAGATATAAAATACTAGGACCTGTTTTACTAAGATGGCTGTTTAATTTACTAAGATAGAAGGCTGTTTATTCATAGACTTCCCATTCCTGTAGAGCAGTGATGCAATTAGGCAAAAATAAATGGTAACACAAGTGACTCTGATACTTGCATTTTGCAAATTTTAGATACCAAAAGTATTCTGCTTCTGCAGGTGGAAATCCCTGTGGACTTCAATTGAATTTTTACTGCATATCATCAAGTTAATCAAAGGGGAAAAAGAAACCAAGTATCTCATTGACAAAAATTCCAGGAATAGACAAGTACAAATAGTCAGTTTAGTTAAGAGTTACACCTGTTTTACCAGCCATGACTTCAGTCTGCCTGACTGTTAGATATTAAAAAAGCCCAAACAAATATATGTAGCACTTCAAGGAAAGACTACCATTCGTTTTTGTGTTCTGCAGTAAATTACAGAATTTTTTTTTTCCTATCTTGATTCTAAAATATTAGATTAAAAAAAAGGTAGCAGAAATGAAAGTGAAGTTCACTCACATGGAAGACATGACGGATGATAATCCAGATATGAATACTCAGTGTGTTTTTGGTGTAACTACAAAAATCCCATTCAGACTGAATCAAAACCAGGCTCTGATTACTTTTGAAGATGAAGAAGGTATGTTGCATATTTTAAGTATAAAATTAATGTGTCTGATGTATTTTATTGCCAAAGGGAAAAGATTTACACAGTCATATTGGGAAAAAAAACCAATCGACAACAGCCCAAGAATGAATACTCAGAGAACCTTTCACTATTATGATACCAATCAGTAGAAGAAAATTCTTGTGAGTGCTCTGCATGTTTTTGTTGGATTACCAGATCTCTGCTCTTGGCTAATACAAACAATACTTTGTGTTTGAAATTGGGAATATGTTTCTACCTCACAGAGTATTGTCAAGAATGATTCAAAATGTTTTGACAGCAGAATTTGATTATTTTCCTTACTCTGGGCAGTACCTTATGCTGACAGCAGTTATGATGGTTAAGGGTACGCATCAGATGATGGGTAGATCTGAGAGGACAGAGGGATGGTGCAGTCTGGAACTTGCCTGCTTCCCACTGAGATGCTTGCCGCTCCGACAGCCTGGTGCCTGCCTGCAAGGAGCCTGCAGGCAGTCTGGCTGGGCCTGTTTGGTGGGTGACTCAGTTACACAAAGATATTCCAGATAGAAAGCTGGTGTCCAATTCATTTCTTTCAGCTGAAATCTAACCACTCAGAGGCATTCTCTGCACCTGGTAGTCATGTGGTTTTCATCTAAGGATATTTTAAATGAAATACGAGAAGTCTGGTATTAATATGTGATACAGTGAGAGCATCTTTTGACAGCATAAGGATTCTGCTATTCTATCCTACTCTAAGGATCATTTAATATTTTACCTGTTGCCTATAACCAGTGAGATTTTATGCCTGAAGACATGGATAGTGGGATCTGGTTGCCTAACTGTTATTTATTTCTCCTTTATTGATGCAAAGGGAGATTTTGCTTAAGAGCCTGGGGAATAATTTTGGTTTTATAATGATTAAACAAGGCTTTTAATTCTCGAAAACTTGTGATTTTCCTTAGTTGCCCAGAGACTGATAAAAATGGGTAAGCATACTGTGAACCTGGACAACAAAACAGCAGATGTGAGAGTGAAGCCTTTTACACTTGAAATGGGAATCAAATTTGAGGTAATCAACTGAAATATGAAACTATAAAGATATGAGCTTGCACTACTTTAAAAGCTTTAAGTTCAGGTTTCTTGGGTGTTTTCAGTCACAAAGTGCACAAAAAAATTATTTTTTAGCTCCATGTCACTATTTCTGGAAAGAAGATCAATGTTTCAGAAATACCTGAGCTATCCATTCCTGAAGACTGGATGAGAGACAAATTAGAGCTGAATTTCTACAAATCTGAACTGGGAGGAAGAGAAGTAGCAAATGTGAGCTATGACAAGCCATCTGGAACAGCTGTTATTACATTCCTCACACCTGGAGGTATAGTATGTAATGTTTTGTTAGCTAGATGTACAGGCTGTATTGTCCATTCTGTGTTACATTCCATTCCATATTACATTCTCTGTTAACCACTGAATGTAGCAAATGTTTCCCACAGAGAGTTAAGTAGATCAGGAAAAGATGTGGGTTCACCCACACATCTGTAAATAAAGCAGTATTTCATCATATTCCTTTTTGATCAAACATGACCTGTTATGCAGTTTGTGAGCTTGCTTGCTTTCTTAACTTTGTCGAAAACCTATTTTTTCTTTGCATTGATAGACACTTATACTGCAGAAAGAAAATTAGGAAAATGTGTTTGATTTTAGCTCTTGTTTCATGACAGTGAAGTTGGACAGGCATTCAGATTGCCCAACTGTATGAAATTCTGTGAAGATCAGTGGAGCCACATCCATTTAGAACAGCTGCTTTAGATTTATTTCAGAAGCTTTTGTGGGTATTTAATGATTTTGCTTTTTTGGAAATGACAAAATTTTTTCAAAATGCATACGAAAAATCTACAAGTGTGCTATCATATATTACTTTCTAAATCCATATAGGTCTGTTCTTCGGTATGCTTACAAAGTGCATTTTAGATTATATCACTCCTCTTTTTTCTCATTCTCCATTACAGCAGCTAACAGCTTTGTGGGATGTACTAAATATCCTTTCTTTGTAAATGGAAGGTGCTGTAAGCTTTCTGTGTCCCCAAACACCAACGAACACTTGGAAAAGTTTCAGGTAAGGCAGTCTAGTCCAGGCAAAACCCTAAATATGAGGTGCAGGCAGAATTTTAAGCTCTGAGGACTGCAGAAACTTTTGTGTCATGCACTTTATGAAACTTAATAGCAAGTGTGAGTCTGCCATATGCTGCTCCACTGACAATCTTAGGTTTTGCAGTGTGACATCTATAATTTGTTTTAAAAGGGTGAGCATGTCTTTCCTTGATCAAATTATATCATTACTTAACATAATGTCTGTGCTAGACAGGAGGCAGATAGATACTGAATTGTTTGTGAAGTAGATTAATAGTAGACACAACAACGTTTTTTGCAGTCACAAAGCACTGTCATACTCATCCCTAATGAGAGGCCTTGTTGATAGTCTCAGCAGAGACCCTTGTTGTTCCATGAAACATATGCTCATTCATTTTTTTTCATTCATTCAAGCCAAATAATGACTTCTTTTCCTGAAACACCAGTCTGCTTGCTCATCATATTCTCACTGAAATTGTCTTCTACTTTGTATGAATAGATTGTAATCAAGTCAGTATTGTGTATATAATCAGGCCTTTATAATTAAAGCATTGGCTAGAGCGCGTGTGTTTATGCGATACAACAGCATTCCTTGCAGGTGTGTATCATGCATTGGCATGGATTTTTATGGAGTGATGCTGCCTGGAGTCCTCAGAGATCCCCAAATCCAGTGTGTGTGTGTGTTAAGGAGTGTAGGAGACGGGTTAAGGAGGCTGGGTGCGTTGCCTGTTGAACTCGGTAGCATCTGATGGAGTTCAGAACTCCTGCTATTTTCAGTGATAGAAATACACCACACTGTCCAAAGTCTTAAAATGTATGCAAAGATCCTAGCCACATCTGATCAAGAAAATGTTTATTTCCAGTATTTGTCAGTTCCTTTAGTTGTACATGCAACAGCTGATGTGTAACCCGTTCGTTTTTCTTTCCTCAATAGCTCTATTGTGGGATTTCTAAGAAGACCATTCTGTTGAAGGGAATTCAAGAGATGGAAGATGATGAAGAAAGTATACAGGACATGATCGAAATTCATTTTCAAAAGCCCAGTAATAGTGGTGGGGAAATAGAGAAAATCAAATATGTATCAAAAGGAGTAGCATGTGTTTGTTTTGAGGAGGATACTTAGAATGCCGTATAGGAAATTGTAGTATGAACTCCTGAAGTTCTCCATTTTTGCTTCATCAGAGGCAAAGGAAGTTATGTGGACATTGTCCATTTAGTATTCTGAAATTTATACTTGAAAAAGAACTACCTGTCTTTCTGATTTGTGTAACGGCACAGACTTTGCACAGAAATTCAGTAAAACTCACTGCTTTGTGTTCCAAAGGTTCCTGATTAGTCATAGAAGAGGCCTTTACCACCGCTTGAAACTTAATCAGAGATTACTTTCTGAAAATTTCAATCTTGCTAATTTTTAGATTGGTCACAGATACTGCAACATGGGATAAATCTACTCCTTCTCACACTGTTTGCAAAAGCCACATGTAATCCAAATCAAAAGCATCTTCACAGACCTCCTTCTGGAGTAGCTCTGGCAAACTCCAGTCCTGCTAAGCTTGCTGTGTGCTGCTGTAACTCACATACCTGAAAGCAGTTATCCTATCATTTCATAAAATCCACGTTATTGAATTAATGATAAAATTAAAATAGAAAACAGGAGAGTGTGAAAACACCACAGATTTACTCAAGGAATTGCACCTTGTAAGAAGTGCCACAGGAGTAATACTGCTTGTAGCTGTTGAAATGCTGTTACTTCTAGCGCCTGATACAAATCCTGCTTGAGCTTCTGATGAATTAATAACCTGGTTTATTGTTTGGTTTTAAGATTTGCTTTTACAATTGCTTTTTTCCTCATTTTTGTTCATGATTTTGCTTACTTTAAAGTACTACAGTTAAGAATTGAGATGATTCTTTGCCTGTAACATTGCTTTGTAACAATGCTGGGGAAAGAGTCTGATGGTGAACGCTGTGTCCGTTTTGGTGCATGTGACTGGCCAGGCTGCTGGCTCTGGGAAGGTATGTGGAGAGCAGTCAGTTGGAAAAGGCATAAAGTTTAGGGAAAATTCATTTTTCAGTGTGTAAAGTCCCCCTGTTGTATCCAAGTTCATCCTTCCATTTCTCAATGTAAAAAGATCTTTGAAATAAAATAGAAGTGCAAAGTCAGAGAAGGATTTATTTTCCAAGGAGGAATGTTTTTCCTTTTCTGCTGTCATCCTTTTTATTTGCTACACTTGGGGGCTGGAAGGGTTTGGCAACAGTAATCGTAACTTTAAAGTAGCATGGGTCTTACAGGCCTGTCAGCTTGACTTTGGTGCCCGGGAAGCTGATGGAGCAGCTCATCCTAAACACCATCATGCAACACATGAGGGACAACCAGATGCTCAGGCCCAGTCAGCATGGGTTTATGAAAGGCAGGTCCTGCTTGACAAATCTCCTGATCTCCTTCTATGACGGGATGACCTGCTTATTGGATGAGGGAAAGGCTGTGGATGCAATTTACCTTGACTTTAGCAAGGCTTTTGACACTGTTTCCTGCAGCATTCTCCTGGCAAAAATAGCTGCTCAAGGTTTGGACAATCGCACACTTCGCTGGGTAAAAAAAATGGCTGGACGACCGGGCCTAGAGAGTTGCGATAAATGGAGTTAAATCCAGCTGGTGGCCGGTCACAAGTGGTGTCCCCCAGGGCTCGGTTATGGGGCCACTCCTGTTTAACATCTTTATTGATGATCTGGACAAGGGGATCAAGTGTACCCTCAGTCAGTTTGCAGATGACACCCAGCTGGGTGGGAGTGTTGATCTGCTCGAGGGTAGGGAGGCTCTGCAGAGAGACCTGGCCAGGCTGGAGCCATGGGCTGAGGCCAACTGGGGGAGTTTCACCAAGGCCAAATGCCGGGGGCTGCCCTTGGGCCACAACAACCCCCAGCAGTGCTACAGACCTGGGGAGGAGTGGCTGGAGAGCTGCCGGTCAGAGAGGGACTGGGGGGGTGAGAATGAGCCAGAGTGTGCCCAGGGGGCCAAGGAGGCCAATGGCATCCTGGCTTGTGTCAGCACTGGCGTGGCCAGCAGGGTCAGGGAAGGGATCTTTCCCTTGTACTTGGCGCTGGTGAAGCCGCACCTTGAATCCTGTGTTCAGTTTTGGGCCCCTCACTATAAAAAGGACACTGAATTACTCAAATGTGTCCAGAGAAGGGCAACAAAGCTGGTCAAGGGTCTGGAACACATGTCTGAGAAGCAGCTGAGGGAACTGGGATTGTTTAGTCTGGAGGAGGCTGAGGGGAGACCTTATCACCCTCTACAATTCCCTGAAAGGAAGTTGCAGAGAGCTGGGTTTGAGCCTCTTTAGCCTAGTAGAAAGCGACAGGACAAGAGGGCATGGCCTCGAGTTGTGCCAGGGAAAGTTCAGACTAGATATTAGGAAGCATTTCTCTACAGAAGGGGTTGTTGGGCATTGGAATGGGCTGCCCAGGGAGGTGGTGGAGTCCCCATCCCTGAAGGGGTTCAAGAGTAGGGTCAATTTGGAGCTTAAGGGTATGCTGTAGGTGGGAACTGTGCTAGGAGAACGGTTGGATTAGATGATCTCCAGGGTCCTTTCCAACCGAGATGATTCTGTGAACATTGAAAATAACTTTTTTGCATAGTATTTGACATGTTAGTATGCAGGAAAAGGACAATGCACCAAACTAGTGCAAGAAGAACCCTACAGATATATCTCAGGTGTTATTTTTCTAAAGAAACTGCTAGTAAGCAATAGTTGTAGTTGAATATGGGGAACTAAAAGGCTGCCAGCACCACAGCTGATTTTTAATTTACTGTTGGGTGAGATATGTGTGACGGTAGCACCTCTTACTGTTTAGTGCATGCACCGGCATAGATTGATTACATGACAATTATGAAATAATAATGAAAAGAAAGTAGTAGTACTGGAGTATTTATGGAGATTGCATACTTTTGCATATAACAGCCTTAGGATGTTGATAAGATCAGATGCCTTGAAAAGAAGGTGGGGAAAAACCTGATGAAGGTTAAAAAACGTCCTGAGTTTGAACCGCACCTCACTGATAACTGTTGAGATGTAAATCCTTAAAACCGGGAAGTTTTAAAATTCTCATAAGGCATCACAGTGTGTGGGAGCGGTGAGAAGCTACAGGTTTTAAGTACATAAAATGAGATTTTAAGTCACGTTTTAAGACGATCAGTATTTATAAATGCCTCGGTTTTCTCTCGATTATACTGTTTAAATTTTAAAGCAGTAGTGGTGCCACATAAAGGCTGGAAAACTTTTAATAATGAAAAGCAATACAGAACTGAGGTGACGTTTCTATAAATGGCAATATCCTTTTTTTCTACCTACTGGAGTGACGTTATCTTTGGAAGTTTGAAGGAGAGCTCTGACTTTTTCATACCTGTGCTACGTGCAGGTCCTGGCGGGGAGCCGGCCGGTACTGCCCCCGCTGAGGGGACACGGTGACGGGGGGATCGGGTGGTGGGGTAACGACCAGCGAGCCCAGACACCGGCCGGTTTTTGTGAAAATCGAGGTATTACTTCCCGAGCTGCCGGGTGGGGGCTGAGGCCCGCCGTTCCGCTTTCCGTTTCGCCGCCAGGCCGGGGCGGGCCCGGCCCCCCCC